GGATAGGGGGACTCATATGTAAGGGGTATGGAAGTGATCAAAAACTATAACCTGCCCTATAACGGGTTAAATATGACATCTAAACAAGCTAATAAGTTAAGCAAAAGTCCATTTGTGAGCATACAGGTTAGAAAAACACATAAAAAAAACATTAAACCCAAAACTTGGAAAGTTCAAAAATAAAAATGGGGTGCACCGTTACCATAAAAACACCACAAACAATCAAAAAAGGATAACATACAGTGATTACATCCCAGTTTTTTATTTTTCACTTTGCTGATGATTTAATATTACTTTTATTAACCCTGAGAAGACAGAAAGCTCAGGTTTCATTTTCCATGTGACATAACCATATTTTTTTAAACTGAAGGTCAGGCTGTAGTGTTTATTAATGATAATTTATGGTTTTCCATAAGTCCAACCTATCCTACCATGTATGATTTTCTATGGAAGCCCGTTTCCGCCACTCTGTAAAAAAAAAAAAAAAAACTATCTCAATATAATGAGATAGTAACTCAATATAATGAGATAGTATCTCATTATAATGAGATCCTGCCCATTATAATGAGACGTTATATATACGTTATCCTGCCCAGCGCCTCTCACTGTGGGCAACTCCAGAGTGGAAGTATGTCCAGCCCCTCTCAAGGAGACTGGTTCCAGAACCAGAACCATACGTCGAGGTGAGACAGACTATTTCTAGCTGGAACCTCTCAGCCTCACACGCTAGCTCCGGTCCCTTCCCACCAGCGAGGTGACATTCCACATCCCAAGAGCCAGCTTCTGCGGCTCTTGGGATTCAGGGTCCCCTCCCCCGGCCAACACACATTGCATACGATCCTTATGGCCCCTCTCACGGGTGGTGGGCCCATGTAAGGGGGGACCCAACAATTTACACTGATTTTGGGTCAATAGGTCACATGACCTGGGAGCTATTGACCAAAAATACTCAATTTTAACTAAAAAAATTGGTAAAAAATAAAAAAAGAAGAGTTAAAATGAAAAACAAATGAGTGTACTCCATCTACAGAGACTAGTAGAACAATTTTACACTGATTTTGGGTCAATAGGTCACATGACCTGGGAGCTATTGAAGAAAAATACTCAATTTTAACTTAAAAAATTGCTAAAAAATAAAAAAAGAGTTAAAATGAAAAATAAATGAGTGTGCCCCATCTACAGAGACTAGTAGAACAATTTCACACTGATTTTGGGTCAATAGGTCACATGACCTGGGAGCTATTGACCAAAAATACTCAATTTTAACTAAAAAAATTGGTAAAAAAATAAAAAAAGAGTTAAAATGCAAAACAAATGAGTGTGCCCCATCTACAGAGACTAGTAGAACAATTTCACACTGATTTTGGGTCAATAGGTCACAATACCTGGGAGCTATTGACCAAAAATACTAAATTTTAACTAAAAAAAATTGTAAAAAATAAAAAAAAGAGTTAAAATGAAAATCAAATGAGTGTGCCCCATCTACAGAGACTAGTAGAACAATTTCCAAGTGATTTTGCGTCAATAGGTCACATGATCTGGGAGCTATTGACCAAAAATACTCAAATTTAACTTAAAAAATTGCTAAAAAATAAAAAGAGTTAAAATGAAAAACAAATGAGTGTGCCCCATCTACAGAGACTAGTAGAACAATTTCACACTGATTTTGCATCAATAGGTCACATGACCTGGGAGCTATTGACCAAAAATACTCAATTTTAACTTAAAAAAATGGTAAAAAAAAAAAAAAAAACTATCTCAATATAATGAGATACTATCTCATTATATTGAGTTACTATCTCATTATATTGAGATACTATCTCAATATAATGAGATACTATCTCATTATATTGAGATAGTTTTTTTTTTTTTTTTTTACAGAGTGGCGGAAACGGGCTTCCATAATTTTCTCATATCGTCAACTCTAAAGGAAATTTACACAACAAGCGATTAATAAAAAGTTCCTAAAGCCGTTTCTCTTGAGAAAAAAAATTCATTAGTTGTTTTATGTCTAACAAACTATTCTCTATGCCCTTGTTTGAAGTATCTCTTTAATGTTTTTCTACGTTACTAAATGCCGTTGGTATTTAACTCAGGTCATTGCAGAGAGATAAAAAAGTTCTACCAATGGCGGCTGGGAGAGGAGATAAGAGAGCTGATAAAAAATGAACTGTACCTCAATCTCTCTTATGTTGTTTGATGTCACATACAGGCCGATCCCGATGGGGATGAAGATGAGTCCGATAACGAAAAACGCAGGCAGCACATTGCCTGCGGTCAGGATTGGCTGCCAGGCAGGGAGTCTTTGCTGTTTGAAAGCAGTGTTGTCCGGTTTTTTACTTTTCGCCACTGCCGCCCCGCCGTGAGTCGATGAATTCGAGTTGCGTCCGTCCTCTTCCTTAGCGTTGTAGCTCGACGCCATCATGATCGCGATCCGCTTCGATCAAAACTAATCCGCAACAGTTGACAACTAGAGTTAGTCGGTAAACCCGGACCTCAAGCAGTACGAAACTGTCTTAGAACTGAAATAGTGGTAAAAGGATTGAATGTCGGTCTAAATCTGATCCATTTATCGATTCATAATGCTGTGGGTTTCACCTGTTTTGGAAAACTGGACCGAGGTGAAGAAGCCGGAAGCTTCCTGGCCAATGGGATGATGAAACGTCGCTATGACGTAGAAGCACAATTAAAAAAAAACGCCCGTTTCCCCTCGTACCCGTTGCTTAACATTTCACCGGTGAACTATCCAGCCAGAACAAGGAAAAGCGGGGTGAAATGAATGTTACGCCGCCTTTTGTGGTCCATCATATATTGTGACCAAAGGAGTTATTGGTGAGGATTGTCCTCATCAGTTTATCTCACCTACTGTTCTCTATATATTTACTGGATTGCTGATAGCCCGTTGGTAGTACGGGGTGGAGTGAAGCCACCGGCCGCCATCTTGGTACTCCCTAGTTAGACCGGTATCAATGTATACAATACAAGCGCTACAGCATTGAACAACAATGATGTTCTCATTTTCAAGGGGACTTAAGACTTTTAAAATAAAGATAAATTCATCACTTTGACAAACACTGGCTGTTTCATTACATAAGTAAATTACTTTAACTTATAATAAAAAATAGGCGCATCACATTGCATAGTCATTATGAAGTCAATGAAGTCTATAAATCAGGGAATATAACATACTATATAAATCAATCACAACAAAATTAATGTGTTAATGGAGCACAATAATACAGATGTGCCAAAAGTGCTAAATTGATGATGTACATGTAATATACATGTATTGTTATAACATATTACATATGAAGATTTCATATCAAGACTGAATTACATGTCTATATATAATGTATATGTATGTATATGTATAAAGTATAAGTCTACTTATAGTATTTTCCTGTTTGCAAACTGTGCATGCATGATGCCATATACTATTATGCTGTGTCTGTGCTTTCTATTTTCTAAGGTTAGACAGAATGTCAAGCTTAACACAGACAACTTTTCAGTCGGTCCAAGATAGCCAGACTAATGTTACGCCATGGAATCAACGTATATATGGATTTTCTTGATTAGTACGTCCACTTACTGTGAAATTACCTGTGAAACATCTTCCCACACCCAGCAAACTGCTTATTTTTGCAGTCAAATGCTACACATGTAGGAATTTTTATGGTGCGTACCCGTAGCATTGGGGAGTACCAATATGCCGTTCAGTGGCTTCACTTTTTTGGGCGGTCAGCAATCCAGTGAATAGAGTGATCTCACCCTAACTTCACAAGACTTGTACATACACCTGAAGAAGTCCATGATGAAATACATTTATCGCCCCTTTATGGTGACACACTGTTTGCTCCACTAGTGTGATAATTATGCTGAGCCAGTTATGCTTTTTAAATGCCATGTCTAAGAAGAATGTTTGTTTTTTTTTTATGTCCTTAGCAAATAAACATTGTCCAGAACATTCTAATCTTAGAAGTTCAGGTAAACAAGACTTCCTGTTAAATGTCAATCCACTTACCATGTTGATATTTCACTGTTCCCTGTTTATGCTCCACAACCATGTCAAAGGATTCTTAGAATAATTTATGCATTTTAACAAATACACCATGCTATTTGCTAATATGCTATTGCCAGTGTGTCGTAAAACTGAAGACAAGTTTTCTTTCTGTAATAAAATAGTGCTCATGTGTTCCTGTTTTAAAATGACTTCCACATTGATTTGAAAACCAAATTTAGAGGCCAAAAATAATCTTAGTTTCCATTTATATTTGAACTAAGTCTTTAGCCTCCCATACATAGACTCAAATATTATACAAAAAACAGTCTTTTGTCTAAAGCTGAAAGACTACTACTGCATTGGACTCACCTAACTAATTAGAACCCCCCAAAAAAAGCATTTCACAATTTTTATGTTTAGCATTTTAAGAAATTATATCTTAAAATAAATATGGTATAAATTCAAAAACTTTTCAAAATTTTCAAAAACATTTTCCTTTTTAAGCTTGACGGTGAACTGAATATTAGGAGTTAAAAACAACAATCAATGAGTAAGTTTTATTCTTATTAAAATCCAATATTTGAAGCTTTAAATAATATTAATTCAATCTTGAATTGCCCCATACAAACTATTAGAAAGAAACATTTTACAAATCTAAAATGAGTAACAGAAAATCCTATGTTGGCAAAATTAGTGAGAGGCAACACATCTAAAATGTTTGCAAAAATGTAGCTTTCCCTTCCATTCTATTCCAAGTGTATCCTTACTAAATTAATTACAAGATCGATACTACAGTCTTATACAATATTTATTAAACATATTTTAAGCAAAAATACACTTACAATAAGAAAAACCAAGAACCCAAAAATACAAACCTAAGCAAACACAAAAGCCTTATTTTCCAAAAACAAAGTTTTTTTTCTAAAATGTGATGTTAAAAACATACTTAAAAAATGGCAAACCTGTCCAAGCATAAAGAAGCTTTTTCCGTAACAATCACTCATATATAACATTTATTTTTACATGTCAGTTTTACAATCTTAAAGGAAGAAATGAGAACAAGACAATAAAAAAAGATTTAATAATGGATAAAACTTTTTGTGTTGCATACATTTCTAGCAGACTTGTAAAGGGAAATTAGGTATACTGTATTTATATGACTTACTCATCACCATACAAGTAAAACCGTGCCATTATATTTTCACAATATCCCTCCATTTTGTAATGCATTTCCATTTAGAGAGGATTTCTTGAGTTCTACTCTCATAGACTGACTCTCTGTCCGAGACTCGAGCTTCATTCCACTCGATACGCTGGTGGATCCCAGTGAAGCCTTCCCTGTCTTGAGGCTTTTGGACATTGGGATGCGAGTAAGCCCCGTGCGAGGTGGCTGCACATCATGCCCGATCTGTTTGACCACAGGAAGAGAAAGCTTCTTAGATTGGTACGGTAAGTAAAATGAAAGCCATAAGAAAATAAGAAAACACAGAAAAGGTTATACAATAATATTAAACATTGTACCAATAAAAAAAAAGTCAAATCATATATTTGATGCACTGTTTGAAAGTGTAACATGGGGTATAGTTATAAATTGCAACTGGATTTGTGGCTAGGTGCCTTCAGCTCTGCTTCTCATAAGGTTATCCATACATGTCATTCACAAAGAGGCTTATAGTGACAAAAAGAACACTAAATAGATCATTTCTTATTTTAGCTGCAGTGAAATGTGTTTCCTAACAAGAACCTTAAGCTGCATTTATACTAGCCTTTTGAAACCATGCCGAGAACCATCCGAGCACAGTAACTGAGATAAGTGTTGATAGTTAACGGAACAAATCTGAACTAGACCATGCCAGACACACCCGAAACACGCTAAATATAATACTAGTTCAAGAGTATGGCTTGGCCCGGTTCATCTGTGGCTCAGTTATCTGATAACAAAGCGCATGAGCAGACCAAGTCATCTCCTATTAACAGTAAACTGACTCATTTTGCAGGTTTTCCGGCGTAATTGGCTTCGCAATTCACAGACCTCTTCACCTGTTTGCAACAAGCTTCTTCTCAGCCTTTTACCCATAAATGGTATCAAAAGAGCGTGGCTCTTATTGAAATTTGGGAAGAAGATTCTATCCAGGCCTATAGTAAGTTCCTGAATGTTATGGGCGCCGCAATTTTGTTTGCGTAATTCTCGCCTTTAGAGCTGTTTTATCGGAACAGCTGATAGGAGGCAAGGAACCGTACTTGCGTGACTTGTTAACGGTTGTAAGAACCAAGCTCAGCGCAATTAACTTATCCAAGCTCGGTCCGAACGCGGCACGGATCAGTTTCAGAGGGCCAGTGTAAAAGGGCATATTTTGCCTCCTCAGTATGTAACAAACCATCTAACTTTGTGAAAAAAAAATCTTTAATTCACTACAGAAAGTAATCTCTAAAGAAAATGTCAACGTAAATATTGGTATGGCTATAGTTCAGCCACCTGCCTTAAAATTATTTCAACAGAAAGTATAAATAGTTCGGATTGAAATAAATAAATTGAAATAAATAAACTTTTTTATAGTTTTAAGCTGTTAGGTGTGATCTCTGACACAATATGTAGGGGAGCATTTAAAAATAAAGTTGATGTTAAACCTACCGTGCTTTGGAGAGGTCTCGATGTAGTTGATGTCACATTGGATATTGTAATACTGCTTGTCACTTTACTCTGCACGTTCCTGGTAGCAGTGGTGATCTGGCGAGGTGAACGCAAAACTGTCCCAGTTGACAGGGTCACTTCTTTGTTTTCGGTCACATTAGCTACTGGTCTGACCACCATCTTTGGGGGAATGCTGTTGCCTAGGTGAATGTGGATCTTGTTATCATCTGCAGAGGTGATGACGCTTGCACTGTTTTGTCCCTTTCGGACTGGAACTGGGACCATCTGTTTCTCGGGGGTAACCTTGAACACAGCCCGGCCCATGGTCATCTCCTGCGGCTCTGGGGAGGCAGACGCTTCAGGCACTACAGCGGTACTCACAGTCATAACTGAAAGAGGGGAAAGAGGTCTTACTGAGGTAGAGGAGGTGCGACTAGTTACTGGAGATTTGGCCCTAGATATCGTTGTGGTGGTGACTGGGGATTTGGCTCTTGAGGGACCTTGGGGTCCTGTGGGAGTCTTTCTCCGTGTTGATGGAATTGAGTAGGTGGGAATGATTGTAATTCTGGATTTTGGTTGAGATGGGTTAGGACTAAGGGGAGCTGTATTTTGAAAATCTTGATCAGAGGTTGGGCTGCTGATTTCCAGTGTGGCCATGTTGTTGTGGTGATCGGGTGTTACCCTGATGTGTAAAGGCTGTCCCTGGTTTTGAGGCACAGATAATTTAGAGGAAACCTGCTCCCCACTGATGTGGAGGTGCTTTTCAAAGTTGGTCTCTTGGGCAGCATTGTCCTTTTTTCTCATCCAAGGAATCCAGGACTTTTTAATACTTAAATCACTGCTAGATGAAGGGCAACGCTCAACTGCATTGCCCTTTTCAGGCTTTTTCAGACATTTCTGTCGGATGTTATTCATTATGTGATTCTCTTCTTGAACAGACTTCCTGATAAACATAGCTGGTGTATCTTCTTCTGTTGGCCCTGTAGACAATGGCTCGGTTTGTACTGCAGTGGATGTGATAGCCATATCCACTATTCTCCTTCCATTCAAGCTGGGTCGGAGTGCTCTGCTTTGGCGCTTGGCTAACTCTAGCTCTTTGGTGAGATGGAATACCTCCATGCCCATGTTCTTGGCCTTCTCTTCCTCCTCCAAGAATCTCTGTTGTAATACAGAGTAGTCTACTTGAAGTTGAGAAAGTTGGTCTTCTTTTTGCATCAGTTCATGGACCTTCTCCTTGAGAGCTATCACATCAGCTTGTAGTTCTCTGTTTATGACCTCCTCTCTTTTGAGTCTCTGCCGGAGGTCTTCCTCTCGGCTTTCTTCTTCCCCTTTTTCAATTGCTTTGTTCCTTGCTATCTGATTCTTCATTTCTTCCACTTGCTGGGAAAGAACATTTGCCTTTTCTTGTTCAGTCATGAATCTTTTCTCCAAAATATCACACTGATCCTCCGTCTTAATTAAGTCTCCCTCAACTACCTCCAGTTGTTTGAGACGGTTTTTTAGGCTCTCTATTTCGAACGTTAGCTCTTGAACTTTGTTGTTCTCTTTCCCTTCAGGATCAATGATTTTTCCTAGATCACACATAATTGAACTCCTCACCGATAGCTTTTCTGCTTGTTCAAATGTGTCTATCTTCTTTTTCATTTGGCTGATCTTAAAATTAAGATCCTCATTTTGGTCAGTTTGACATGCTAGCTTAGAACTGAGGGCCTCTTTTTCTTTGGTTAAAGTCTCGACTTTGGTTTCCATCTCAGATTTTAGTTTCAGAAGCTTTTTGCTCTCTTCTATCAGCTTCTCAGTCACTTCCGTTACCTGTTCCTGCTCAAGTTTAACAATCTTGCTCAACTCCTCCCTTTTCTTCTGCTCTGACTTTACTGTTTCCATCAGAGCATTTCGTTCATCCATTAGTGCAGCTGTCAGGGACTTAAGCTTCCGCAGATCGTCCTTAAGGGTCAACTCACACTTCTCTAATTTGAGTTCTGAGGACTCAAGCTCTTTCATTCTAATCCTGAGAGTTACAACTTCATCTGAAAGTTCTTTGGCAAGGCTTTTCTCCCTTTCTAAAGCAGTTTGTATCTGTGCACACTCAGCTTTGCTAACGCTGAATGCTTCCTCCAGTTTTTCCAGATCCATCATTCTACTTTGGAGCCTCTCTACTTCCAGCCGAAGGTCTTTACTCTTACCATTCTCCTCTTCTAGCCTCTTCCATAGCTCCTTACATTGATTCTCTGTCTTGGTAATTTCTTCATCTTTTCCTTCCATCTCAACTAAACGTTTACGCAGGTTCTCTATCTCAGCAATCAAGTTAGAGCTGCCATACTCCCCTGTGCTGATGCTCTCCCTTAACGCCTGCATTTCCTCCTCAGATTTTCTCAAGGCATTGTTGCTATCCTCTAACTCCTTAATTTTATGAGTTAGCTCCAAAATTTTGGTGTTAAGCTGGCGATTTAGAAGCTCCTGAATAGACAGCTTGGTACTCATTTCTTCATGCTGTTGGGTGATCTTGCAGGATTTCTCCTTTAGCTCTGCCTCCAGGCTCTGTATCCTGTAAACATCCTCCTGAGCACGCTCCTTGGCTTCATTCAGGGCTTGGTCCTGCTGCTGGAGCTGGAGGGTCATCTCTTGGACCCTCTGACTCTGCTGGTCCATTTGCTCCAAGTGCTGCTGGCGCTCATTGACCAGCATCAACGCAAATGACTTCAGTTTCACCAGCTCCTCTCGCACCTTGGACAGTCGTTTTGAGTGCTCTTTCTCTTTGCGTGCTTGATAGGCTTTTTCGTGCTCAAGCAACTTCTTCAGCCTAAAAGAGATCAAACAAGGTCATTGTTTCAAGATTTCTCATTACTTTTAGATTAAAAAAAAACATATTAAAGAGATATTTGTGTCATCATCAATGACTGCAGCACCTTTAGAAATGTCTGATTAAAACATTTTACTCATAATACAGGAAAAAGCCCTGAACTGTTATGTAAGCAATGATCTACAAATCAAATCTACTAAATGAAGTTTAAAACCAGAGACAAATGTTCCCTGCAAAACAGCTTACACTTAGCAAATAAAGGATATGAATAATTTAAAAACCTGCTTTACCCATGTGAGATTTACCCCCTGCTGATGGGAAATAATCTCCATTACAAACTGCAAGAGAAAGTTCTGCTAACAGCCCCAGCAACAAGCTGTGGTCCTTTCTCTCAGCTTCTTTCTATGCTGCTCATGCCCAGCTTTCATACTAGGGTGGCTCCACCAGAATGCATGCAAAGCAGCTGCATGTCTACTTCCAGGGACATTATAATATATTATTCAAACTGAACAATGTTTGCATTGCAAAATGAACCAAATTAGAACAGGCAACAGCTCAACAAGGAGGACAATAATCTTTAACAGCCACTAAAAGTCCAAACTTAGCCTTTCCCAACACTTAAGAGTCCAATCAGAACTTACCATCTAAAGATGCTCTGCAAGCAAAGAAAATCTTGCCATTCTCCTAAATACAGTCAGCATAGAAGTGCTGCAGTATCCCTTTTCCGTAGATTTTTTTTTCACCATGACATTCTAGAAACTTTCTGCATTAAAAAGGAACAGCAAACTTAAGCCCTGCTGTAGTGAATGGTGTAACATCATCTATAGAGGATATCAATATGTGTGAGAGTTTGTGCTGCTCTGCTTTGAACACAATGCAGGGGGTGGAACTAGGGCTTCAAGTGTTAAGCAAAACTCCCCCCAGTTTTGCATGTTATCTTAATCTCGCAATCTATCAAATCAATTAATAAAGTTGCTCCATTAAATAGAATAAATAGATTTAAATTTTCTCCAGATTCTCTCATATAACTTTATCATTTAAAATGATATTTTAAATTGTTTTGATACTTTAGCACTGGTAGGAAGAATGTGTGTGCACTGGCTCTACCTCAATGGAAAATTTAGTAGCTTTCCAGGCAAATTTCCAAGTAAAAATCTGAAACAAAAAGCCCCAGTTTCACTATTTGTTTTTTGTGTCTTTTCACTTGTTCCCATATTCAAAGGTTGCCACAACAAGTCATTATGACTGGCTCACACACTTAGCAAAGTATTTACATCCAATGTCCTTCCTGATGCAACCAGGATTCAAACTCGAGTCCCTCACTTTACAGTCAAAGGCTTATGCCATTTAGCATGATCAGCCACATTTACGCTCATTTATATTATCATATTAATGTATATAGATAATATATTAGATAGATAATGTATATAAATAGTGTTCTTTAATACATCAGGGATAAATATGGATTTTGCGAAATAATGATCTATATTATCTAAGATGCATGTGATCGTGACCCAAATGATAAAAACACAGGTGTGATCCACAGCCTGGCATTCATTGGAAAACAATCTTTTAACACATGAAACAACATTTCATCTCATGTATCCTGGGGGGAAATGCCCAGAGGCACTCCCTCCCCGCTCTTTTAACCAAACAAAAAAACCTTAATAGTTATAAGCACTGGTGTAGAAGAAAACTTTTAGATGTGAGCTACATCATACTTCAATACTGCACACATTCCATCTTAAAGATGTGAACCTCATGACACATAAATTGTTCTGTTGTTTGAAAAGGTGTTAACGGCTGATAGCTGCCAGTTAGAAATGTCTTCCTCCATTCATGCCCACTCACTGCATTCCTCCAGATGTTTGGCACAACACCACTGACCCTTCTCTCTTCACTTTCAGACGTTTGACAGGGTATACATCAAAAAGATCATAATGTTCTGAAAGCAAGATGTCAAAATACAAATAAAAGTTTGAAAGGGGTCTTTTTTTCCTAGCTGTTCTTGTCTGAACTCTACTGAATTAGTTCTTCAAAAACTATTTTCTTAAACGGAACCAAATATGAACAACATTGGGCTTTGGAATGATACTTTGGGATTTGTCTTTAAACTCTAATTTAAGACATTTTTTTACATTTTGACTTTTAAATCAAGCCTTCTTGGATTTAAGCTATAAAAAAGCAGCAAATACATTTTATTTCCATCAAAAGAGGGTTGATCTCTCAGTAACACCAACAGGTATTTCTTAAATGATTTCCAAAACTCACCTAATAGCAAAATGACAAATGTGAACAATCAATCAGAACTGAAAGATTTACATTTTAAAATCACCCACTGAAACGACTGTGTAAAATTATGAACTGTGAAAATAATAACTTTTTGATTTTTTTTTTTACTACAAGCTGTCACTTCTGATCTAATAAGTTGAAAGATCTGTATTTAATAATAAAAAAAGCTACAGTTGTCTAAATCTAGTCTAAATCAGAATACGTACGATTGTAATTGCTTTAAAAGCTAAATACATTTAGCAGTATTTGGGTCTAATTGTCATATGTTTTTATTGCTCAATATGTTATAGTTTCTCTCTTAAAATCAAAAATTTCACTCTCTGCTGGCAAGCAGGGACGTTTTCAGGCACACATATGATGCTAAATTCATAGATAGATTGCAAACACAGTAATAAGAGGGTACACACCATTCTGTCAGGATCTTAGCCTTTGCACTCAGTTACACGCTGCACCTCTGAAGAACAACAATGATCAGAACAGAAGAACAGAGCTTATGCATCTAAATCTTTCTATTTACTTGATAGACATGTAAATTGACCAGATTTTATTTAAATCCAATTTGTATGGAATTAAAACAATAGCCTTCAAGCTTATATTAGATTTGGATGAAATATGAAAAAAAATTAAATCGTCGGTCATGAGTTTTGGTTGTTCAACTCCACCTTTTCAATCATTGACATTATTTGGTCCTGTTTTCTTTGGGTCTGTAGCTTATGTATTTTATTGCAAGATTCATTTTTACCAGAATAGAAACTCATCGGCTTCTGTCTGTATTTTTCTCCAGCCGTTTCATGATAGAAATTTGAACAAAATACTACAAATTGACTATTATTCTGTCAGTTGTCTTTTGCCTGTTGTAAATTATAACATAATGTCTGTTTAAGCTCGTTTGCAATATGACTGCATGCAAAACCTCTCATTTACCTCTCAGAACACGAAAATAGTTTATCTATTTCTCAGAGAGGGAAAGTAAACAGTGGTCTCTGATTGGGGGTTAAACAACAAGCTGGAGGCTGTAAAACCTTTTATCTTTAAATTATTTTAATTAGAAGGAGTTAAAGTACAAATGCACTTTGTCAAAAAATATGTTTGATCTCTGTGAGAGGTGCAACATGCATGGAATAAAACCCTCTCATTTCAATGTTATTCTCCAAGTCCCTCATCACTCATGAGGAGGCCTGCACCAGAACTCAGCACTGATATTGATGGGTTGCTCCTCTGCATTTGACCTTCACCCTGCGCCCCCTTTCTTATTTCCTCGTTACTCTGATGTTAAACAGTCTTATCAGATTAAATGCCTTACATCTCAGCTCCTGGAATACATTATGTTCAGAATCTCCTATGAAGAGCATTAGTGAGACTAAATATGATTAATACCCATGGCAAATTTAGATTTGAATTATTTACATCACACATTTTTTTCTGAGGAATTAAAAACACACACACGGCAGCATTTTTTTCCTGACTTCTTAACTATAAATAAATAATGATAAACATTGTTATCATGTTTGTATTTGTATTTCAAGACTCCAATTTGTCTTATACTTGTTTACCAGGTATTATACATGTTTCCACTGGCAGTTTTGATCATTCTTGTTTTGCAATAAGCTTAAAGTTTTTGATGTTTTTTAAGGGCCCCCTCTACTGCGTCCTAATCTTTAACTTCCTCGACAGATACTTAAACAGATTCAACTCCGGCTTGATCGCCTTAAAACAATAACTTTTAGAAAGAGAAATGTTTTGGTAAAGTTAAAAGATAACATTAAAGAGATTCAAACACTTTGGCCTTAATTGCTAAACTGCAAGATTTTCCCCTCAAAAAGCCAAAACGTTTTGCATTTCGGTCAAACAGTCTTAACTGTTCGAAATTCATTAATCACGGATGTGTATTAAGTAATATAATTAGTTGTGAAATAAAGATGAGTGATTCTGGTTTGATATATTTACTGGCCTAAAAGTGTTTCCCAGTGGACTAGTTGTTTTTAACAGGTCAATGGTGAAATCCAAAATTCTTCATGCCTTTGAGCATTTTGCTCACTGGGATCTCCTGTAATTCAGAAATATGAAATTCATATTTGTGAAATGAAATAAAATTAATTTTTATTTATAAAAATATCCCAATAAAACCAAAAGGGGTCATAGAATGCAAAACCGGGTTTACATTGTCATAAATGAATAATGATAGTTCAGTGGGGGAAATGGATGTACAGAGAAGTTCAAACCCCATGGACACCTCCTTTCTCTGCAAATCTCACAATTCTAAACTTCCACCATAAAACGGGCGAATCCATCAGTGCTCACTGAATATCAGGTTATCTGAAGCCACTTGGAACAGATTAAATGATTTAACTTCTAAATCTTTGGAAAAGTTTCCTTTGCTTTTAAACTATTCAGTGACGTCCTCTGAGGTTTCAGTGATGGCAGAGAGTTGTTTTCTTTTACATCCTCACCGTTCTCTTTCCTGCTCCAGGAGGTTTGTGAAGTCATCGCTCTTATTCATGTAGTCAGCGTGTTTACGTTTCTCCCCTTCCAGCTCATGAACAGTGCGGCGGTGGCATTTTTCAGCCAGCAACAGCTGACCCAGCATCCGCCGGTAGGTGTCCTTGTGCTTCTCCTGCAGACGTTTCAGCTGAAAACAAACAAAAGCATGAGAAGAACTGAGATTTAAGAACAAGGCATACTGCATTGTGTTTTTACTTTTATAATAATTGTCTATGTCAAGTTTATTTGAAAAAGGATCTTAAGAAAAGTGCACAATATAAAACAGAGATTGAATTAAATAAAGGAAATGAAACCGACCTCTGCCATGGGCTTTTGATAGACGTGATCATCCGGCTTTTTCCCAGTGATGAAGCTATCCCTCTGTAGGGCTTTGAGGACTGAGGCAGGGACTGCACATCCATACTGTGACTCAAGTCTTTCTGGACTTGTCTGTTGGGATTTTAGCATGTAGATTACATCTTCCCTCGCCTGAAAACACAATGATGCAAACAAATATTATATTTCCTTTAAGTAAAATAAGAGGTGTACAAAAGATCCAAACTGAGTGTTAAAATAGCCTCGGACAGTTGCACATTTTTTATTTTACCCTTTTTAAAAGTAACCACAATGGTTAAGGCTCCTGTATTTTATCTGTGCTTTCTGCTGAGATTTTAAACTGCCATTTTCAACCACAAGATAGAGCTATTGTGCTAGAATTGCAGCACAATCAGTTTAAGTGACTCTAGTGCCATAGAGAAGTGTGTTCTGCTTTGCCGACATTGTAAAGGATTCTGATTTCTCTCCTGCTTAAACCCTGCATGAGGAAAAACAAATCAGCAGTCAATAGATCAAACCTAACCTGAACTTCTCCCTCCATGATTCCCAGCAGTTTTAGCAGATCCAGTTTGGATAGGTCCTTGATGTTCCCTGTATTGTTTCCAATCTCTGTTGGATTTGTCAACAGCTTTTCTTTTTCAGAGATCACTTCGACCTCCTCCGCACTTTCCTTCTGTTGAACTTTGACCTTCAGGCTCTTCACAGGGAGACCCACATCCAGTTCCTCGTTGATTTCATGATCATCTGGTGGAACACCAAGGACCCCTTCGGTTGGGCTTTCCACCCCATTGCTTTTAGACCTCATCTTCCCTGGATTGAGGATAGAAACAGAAACTTTGTTGGAGAAATAGATTAACAGTATTATTATTATTTCCATGCATTTATCAATCAGTAAAACTTTATTTCCCTTTCAAGTCAAACAATAACATACCAGAGTCTACAAGCAACATTATTCAATTCAAGTTTATTTCTATAGCGCCAATTCATAACGCACGTCATCTCAAGGCACTTTAAAGTTCACCAGATCATACAGCCAAATTGATTCTAAGTTTTCTATCTAAGGAAAACCAGTTAATTGCATTGAATCAATGACTCAAATGCAATCCCTCACACTAAGCATGCTTGTAGCGACAGTGGGGAGGAAAAACTCCCTTTTAACTGGAAGAAACCTCCAGCAGAACCAGGTTCAGTGTGGGCGTCAATCTGCCGAGGCCAACTGGGGTTCAAGGAGACAGAAGCAGAGATACAAAAAGCAACTCCACAATACAGTGACTACAACGGCAATAACTTGAGCAATGTATAATGTTCAGTTTACTATTTCATACCCTACGCAATAACCTGTTTCTCTATATTTGACACCCAGTGCAATAACTATATGTAAATATAAATATCCATCTCTAAAAATACCCATGGAAACACTCTGTGCAATAACCCTGTACAATAATCCTACTATAAAAAAAAACTGTCATATGTGGACACACTGTATATACTGTATATATGCACCTTTTTCTTCATTTGGCACATTCTACATCTTTGACTATTTAGCAGCTGTAATGAGCAAATTTATCCACTTTGAGATCATTAAAGTCAATCATTCAATTAATCAATCAATCAATATAACTGCATTTCATTGCCAGTATTCTAAAGCCCCTCAAAGTTTTTCACATTTGTTCTCCCTGCTGGAGAAGAGTTCCTACAGCACAATGCCACGACTGTCATGTTTCCTTGTAGTGTTTTATAGTGCTGTTGGTTTTCTATCACACAGTGTTTGGATTTAGCCCAAAAGGTGCAACTTTGTTATCATCTCTCTTCACATATCAAACTGCAAGCAAAACTCCTTATACCTTCCTTTCAGCAATAACTGTCCTCTTACCACTCTTTCTCAAATCACCGTAGAGCTCGGATCTTTTAGCTGTTTCTCTGATTAATGCTGAGGATAGGCATGTTTTAGTAGGTTTGCAGTTGTATCATAATATACTTTCTATTTTCAGGTGATGGGCTGAACAGAGCTCTGACAGATGCTTTAAGCATAGGATCTTGTAATTTATCTGCTTTACCGTCTCTACATTCCGTCTGATCTCACCGCATACCTTGCACACTAAGATGGTTTTTGTTAAAAAAAAATTCCAATAACTCTTGAAGGCCTTACCAGAATAACTTTATTTATTCTAAAATCAATTTACACAACACCGGACTCCATTTGCTAATCTGGTTCCTCAGTTTGTTGCACTGGATATTTAATTTTGTACTTTCTGTATGCACACCACACTGTTCAGATTTCATTTTTAAAGAACATTATAAACCTTCACAATCACTTTTTTGCTGTGTCACATACAAATTAAAATTCTTCAAAGCTTTTTTTTTTTTCCAGCCACCCCTGCTCCATATCTGCTAATTAGCCTGGTCTTTGTTCAGTCCAATTTATACACCTCATGTTCAGTCACTGTTTGCTAGTTCCTTGTTAGTTGCTTCCTCGTCTCTGACTCCCTCTCAAGAACTCTTCTCTGCTTCACTCATCTGTTCATTTGGGTCCTCAAGCAACCTCACCCCCCAGTTGACAGTATGAATCCTCCAAAATATATATATATTTTTACTCAGAAGTAAAAAGAAGTTATCAACAATCTGTCTTACTTAAAAAGTAGTTAGGCTACTTAACTACAGTGGTGTCAAAACTACACACATTTGTTACTTAAATAGAAGTATAGATACTGCAGTTTAAAAACACTGGTAAAAGTTGAAGTATCAACTTGACCTCTTTACTCAAGAAAAAGTGAAAAAGTATGTGCTCCAAAAACTACTTAAAATATAAAAGTATAAAGTAACATTTAAAAAAAAAAACAGCCAGATGTGACCATATGAACCGAAAGCTCAATTTTTCGACTTTTCCGAAAAATTCTTTGAGATAGGGCCAAGGATGTGTGAGGTCTTGTTGGTCCCCGTCTCCATTTCCCGATACACTCTCTCCTGTGTCCAACCTTTCAGACATTTTCAACATCTTTTTCTGAATCCGACATTGTAGCATGGCATAGACAATTCACGTTTACAGTTTGAAGAACACCTGCTTGCTTCTGATGATTTCCTTTAGCTAACCAATGAGTGTTTGCGTTATATGACTCATCCAATTACACTAGTTTTCACTAGATGTGGATGGAGCCAATGACCTGCATTGGATGGCGCACATGACGTGAAACATTTATAAACATTAAATTGAAGCCAAGAGTAATGAGTAATGTTTGTTTTAAAAATGTAAGGAATAGAAAGTACAGATACTGTCTGAAAATGTAATGAGTAGAAGTAGGAAGAAAAATAAGTAATGGAGTAAATTATAGATACCTAAAAAGTGTACTTAAGTACAGTAACAAAGTATTTGTACTTTGTTACTTGACACCTCTGCTTAACTATGAAGTAAATGTTTCATTATCTCATTCAGTTTGTGGACAATGCTCTGACAGAGAAGACTGTGAATTAATGTACAACTTCTGCAAGTTTGTGGATCAAAAAGCAGTTGAAAATATATGACTTTTAAATTTTTAAATATTCAGATGTTAAAGACACATTTTCAAATATTTTACCTTCACCAAATCTTTTTATAAACCAATCCTTAAAAAGTGTCAGGACAGTTTAAGCACTTTCAGTGACAATATATGCTGTTCACTGAACATCCACTTCACCTCCGAATGAGACCCTTCTGGTTAAAGCACTGTGTCGAGATTTATTTTTTACCCTTCTAAGTATAAGTAGTTTTACTACTTGATTAATGATTGAAGTAGAAAATAAAAACTGTAGTTGTTGGGATCTGGAGATCTGCCACCTGTCTCCAGCAGAGAGCGCTGTGGGTCTCCTGGGCTGGAGCCCTCAGCACACCTGAGGATCATCAGCTCATCAGGAGACCTCCTACATAAGCAGTAGTCAGACCTTCCTTCAACGCCGCAGTGTTGACCAAGTTTGAAAACCCGACTGAAGTCTGAAGCTCTGGATGAGCTTTGCCTGGAAACCTGCCTGCCTGCCCAAGGAAGCCAAACCTGAAGATATCAGTCTGGATTCCTCCAACAGCTCTCAAGGAAGAGCTAGGAAACCAAGTCAAGGTCTGAAACTCACAAGTCAGAAGCTAGACGCTGCTGAGCTCCCTGCTGAATCTACAGTCTCTGGACCCAACCGGTTCCCCCCCTCTCAAAGGATCTGCCTGAACCTCATCTAGGTACATTCTGAATTAACACACTCGACAAGCCATCTAAGCTGCCTGGCTAATCAAACTATCCATCTCTGCAGATATCAGTGATTCCAGTCCCGGACCTGTACCAGAACCAGTTCATAATTACTCTGTGTGTTTTTTCAATAAACTCTGTTAAACTTTTACTCAGCTTCCTGTGGTGTTCTGCATGTGGGTTAAGTCTCTTAAGCCTATCATGACAGTAGTGTAGTAACACTTTACATAAAAGTTTCCAGAAAGTAAACATAACTACCCATAAATACCCACTGCAAAGCATGACCAAATTTAAAAAATGCAGATCTAACCTAGTTTGGTCATTGCTCTTATTATTTTATCGCTTTGACACGATTTACAGAGAGCTTTATGATTTTGACCTTGGATATTTTCCTTGATAAAAGTCTCTATATGCAGCCTGAATGGCCTACTTCAAATCTAATGACATGGAAACTCAGATGGCTCAGGCAGGTAGGTAGAAAATCAAGTAGGTAGAAAATCTTTAAAACATTTGAAACTACAAGGGTTAATATGGGTTTGCGAAAATAAGTTTGATATTGTGATAAGATGCGCTAAAACAACAGAGGAGGCAGCACAGCCTGCAGCCATCTCATTACTTCTAGTGGAAGTAAACTGCATATATACTGTATAGCGCATTTCTCAGCTTCTTTATGTTCTTCACAATACAACAGCCATACAAACCGCAGATAAAATACAAATATAAAATGGAGAGCAAATAAGGAAATATTTTTAAAACAGCATGCATGAAACATCATATAGCACAAAGGTAAATGTCTGTAAAGTTTAAGAAATGCATTGATTTGTGCAATGTAGTGCAGATTAAATGTTAGTTAAACACAGAACACGTTTGTTTGCATTTCAAGTACTGAATGTATTTGCATAGTTTGCATGCAAATGACAATGCAGAGTTCAGTCATGATAGAGTGAAGAAACACAATTTATATTTGGCATAGTACTATCTGAATGGTGTGCGCCAGATGAATAATTTCAAAGCTGATGTTTTCATGTAATTTTAGCAAATGCATTGTGGAAATTTTCCTAGTTATTCTGAGAATCAGTGTGTTTTATTGCAATTCGTTTTCTGTTTTATAATTTTATCAAGTAGGAAGAATAATGTTTCCTCTACACCAATACACTTTGATTGTAATATATTCTGTATATATAAAGGAACATATACACAAATGTGTGCTTTATGGGACTAATCAGGTTTATTGACATTAATTTTAACAAGAAACAGTTACTTAGATAATTCAGTTGATAAAATAAAAAAATGCAGATTACCTAAAGGTGTTATTTTTAAATCTGATTTTACATTTATATCAAACTGTTACTTTAACAGGAAACAGTTTATTTGCTTTGGGGCACAGCATAGTGAGCTGATAATATTTAATTAGAATTTTAAAAGCACAAACACGAATGTAGGAGAAAACAGAGGATCCAGTGACTTCAGGGTGACTATTTTACTGAACAAAGGTGCAGATTATGGGTAAACAGGTAAATCTGCTTATTAACTGAAGGTTAAGGCCAAAGGAGATGTGTTAAAACAGAGATTAGCAGTGGAAAAATGAAAGTTCCTTCCTTCCTT